TTTTGGGTCCCCCTCCCCAATTTTTTGATCCCCCCCAAAATTTTTGGGTTCCCCTCCCCCATTTTGGGTTCCCCTCCCCCCCCAATTTTTGGGTTCCCCTCCCCCCCCAAATTTTGTTCCCCATTTTTTGTTCCCCCCAAATTTTTGGGGTCCCCCCCCAATTTTTGGTTTTCCCCCCAAAATTTTTGGGTTCCACCCCGCCCAATTTTTTTATTTCCCCCAATTTTGGGTTCCCCTCACCCCCAAATTTTTGGATCCTCCCAAATTTGGGGTCCCCCTCCCCAATTTTGGATCCCCCCCAAATTTTTGGCTCCCCCAAATTTTTGGTTCCCCCCAAATTTTTGGGTTCCCCCTCCCCAATTTTTGGTTTCCCCCCCAAATTTTTGGGTTTTTACCCCAAATTTTTGGGTTTCTCACCCCCAATTTTGGGTTCCCCCTCCCCAAATTTTTTGATTTCCCCCAAAATTTTTGGGTTCCCCTCCCCCCCCAAATTTTTGGATCCTCCCAAATTTGGGGTCCCCCTCCCCCCTCCCCCAATTTTTGGGTTCCCCTCCCCCATTTTGGGCCCCTCCCCCCCCCGGATTTTTGGGTTCCTCCCCTCCCCCCCCAAATTTTGTTCCCCATTTTTGGATCCCCCCCAAATTTTTGGGGTCCCCCTCCCCAAAATTTTTGATTTTCCCCAAAATTTTTGGGTTTCTCCCCCAAATTTTTGGGTTTTTACCCCAAATTTTTGGGTTCCCCTCCCCCCCCCCCATTGTTCCCAGTGCGGGGGGGGGGGGGGGGGGGGGAATGGAAAATTTGGGATAAAAAATGGGAAATTTGGGGTAAAAAGTGGGAAAATTTGGATTTTCAAATGGTGGAAATGGTGGAAAATGGGAAATTTGGGATAAAAAATGGGAAATTGGGATAAAAATGGGGGGAAGTAATGGGATAAAAAATGGAAAAATTGGGTAAAAAGTGGGAAAATTGGGAGAAAAAAGAAAATTGGGAGAAAAAAAAGGGATTTTCAAATGGTGGAAATGGGGGAAAATGGGAAATTTGGGATAAAAATTGAGAAATTGGGATAAAAATGGAAATAATGGGATAAAAAATGGAAAAATAGGGGAAAAACGTGGAAAATTGAGAGAAAAAATAAAATTGGGAGAAAAAAATGGGAAAAATTGGATTTTCAAATGGTGGAAATGGGGGAAAATGAGGAAATTTGGGATTAAAAAATGGGAAAATTGGGGAAAAAACGGGGGGAAAATTGGGATAAAAAATGGAAAAATTGGGGAAATAAGTGGAAAATTTGAGAGAAAAAAGAAAATTGGGAGAAAAAAATGGGGAAAAAATTGGATTTTCAAATGGTGGAAATGGGGGAAAACGAGGAAATTTGGGATTTAAAATGGGGGAAATGGGAAATTGGGATAAAAATGGGAAATTGGGATAAAAATGGGGGGAAATAATGGGATAAAAAATGGAAAAATTGGGGTAAAAAGTGGGAAAATTGGGAGAAAAAAATGGGGAAAATTGGGGAGGAAAAAATGGGAAATTTGGAGAGAAAAATGGAAATTTGGGGGAAAAAAGGAAAATTTGGGAGAGAAAAATGGAAAAATTGGGGGAGGAAATGGGAAAATTGGGGAAAAATTGGAAATTTAGGGAGAAAAAAAGGAAATTTGGGAGAGAAAAGTGGGGGGAAATTGGGATTGAAAAAGGGAAAATTTGGAGGAAAAAATTGGAAAATTTGGGATAAAAATGGGAAATCTGGGGAGAAAAAAGGGAAATTGGGAGAAAAAAATGGAAATTTGGGGAGAAAAAAAAGTGAAAATGTGAGGGAAAATTGGGGAAAAAATGGGAATTTTGGGGAGAGGAAAATGGGAAAAATTGGGGGGAAAGAAAATGGGAAAATTGGGAAGAAAAATTGAAAATATGGGAGGGGGGAAGGGAAAATTGGGGGGAAATTTGGGACAGAAATGGGAAAATTGAGGGGGAAAAAGACAAAATTGGGGAGAAAAAGAGAAAATTTGGGATAAAAAGAAAATTTGGGATAAAAAAAGGGAAAATTTGGGATAAAAAAGGGAAAATTTGGGGGGAAAATGGGGAAATTGAGAGGAAAAATGGGGAGAAAAAAGTAAAAATCAAGGGGAGAAAATGGGGGAGAAATGGGAAATTTGGGGAGGAAAAAAAGAGAAAAATGGGGAGGAAAAAGGGAAATAAATGGAAATTTGGGAGGGAATGGGAAAATTGGGGGGAAGGAAAAAATGGGGAGAAAAAAGGGAAAATTTGGGAAAAAAAAAAGAAAAATGGAGAAAATTGGGGGGAAAAATGGGAAAATTTGGGTTGAAATTGGGAAAAATGGGGAGAAAAAAGGAAAATTGAAAGGGGAAAAAAGGGAAAATTGGGGTGAAAATGGAAAATTTGGGGAGAAAAA